AATAATATTTTTATCAATTAATATTTTTAAACATTAATATTTTTATTAAATAAAATATAGAAATATGAAATAACTTTATTTAATAATATTATATAATATCAATTAAAATAAATATATTACTAGAACATGGTTTATATTAGTAAATATATATATTTTAATTTATTTTCTCCTTGCTAAACATACCTTTCATAAATTGTCCGAAGGGTTAGGTGGAAATAGATGAGCCGGAGAGTATAGCTGTTGACAATTCGTTTCATCATCGCTTTACTCGTCGTGGAGGATCCGAGGATACAGCAATGGACCATCCGTCTGCTTTTGTTTTTTCTCCATTTTTTTTATATATATTATGGTATTAGTGAGAATATTCTTTACTTTTTTTTTTAAATTAATCTCCTTCAGAATTTTAATTATATTAACATTATTTCTTTCAATAATATTTTTTTATCAAATTTAATACTCGAACTTAAAATTTTAGAGTTTTAAAAATCAACTGTAATAACAATTGAACATAAGAAAAGAATGATATATACGATACGTTATAAGAAAAGAAAAATGAATATTCATATTTGTAGAGGCAATATGCAGTTTTTCTTCCGAATTTCTCATCTTGGGAGTTGCTACGGTACCCTCAAAGATCAGGAAGTTTCAATACATTCTTTTATGTAAACTCATAAAAAAATCTTAAAAAAAATTAATTTAATTATAAAATAAATAATCTAAATTATATTTATAAAATAAAAAGTAAAATAAAATTATAAAGATTAAAATTATAAAAAATTTAAGATAAAAAGACAAAAATATACTTAAAAAATAATTCAAATTAAAATATAGAAATTCAAATATTTTAAGTGAAAAGACAAAAATATACTTAAAAATTTATTAAAATTAAACTATTTAAATATATAATAATATTCTTACAAATAAAATTAGAATATATAAAATAAAAATACAATAAATAAATAATTTAAAATTTTAAAAAAATAAAATATTATAAATATTATATAAATAAATTATTAAAAATATAAAATATAAAATAAAATTATAATTACAACTGTACCGATATCCTCTCAAATAATATGGGTACCATATAATTTCTCTATTAATTTTAAACATTCTTTATTTTTTTCATCGTCTTGTTTTTTTCGGTCGGCACTTTCTGTATTTTAACTTCAGGATACCATAAACATTAACTGTTTGTGGTCCACGAACCGATGGGCCATGGCCCATGGGCTATATAGCCCTAAAAGTCTCGGCTTTACCTTACATGTAAAACATTAATCTGGACCATTCGAGATGTCTCAATTCAATCTTTTTCCCCCGTGAACTGAACAAAATATTTTTAAATCTTTTAATTTTTATTAACAAATATGAAAATATTGTATATAATTTTTATTTAATTCTCATATGACATTTATATCTATACATATTATAAAGATATATTTTGATAACCACCATTTGTCTCTATTTTATAATAAACTATTATACTCTTGAATGTAAAAAATAAAAATAAACTTATATCACTTTTAAATAATTATCTATAACTTCTAATATTTATCTGTGTATAATTATTAGAGGCACAAGGTGTTTCAATCCTTGATTTCTCTAGTTATTAATAAAAGTTATATCATTTTTTATAAGGGTTTTTTGTGTCCATTTTATGAGGATAAGTTTGTCATTATTTTTTTTTAATTTTAAAATTGTTCAGAATTGCTTACACTTTTTAATTATTAACCATTTATTTATATTTAATTTTTTAACTTTTAATTTTTAAGTAAAATGTATAGAAGTGTGAACATCTTCTTTTGTGCTAATTAAAAATAATGGAAAAACTTTAAAAAAAATCTAATATTACTTAAAGAAATATAAGTGTTTTGCAATGTTTTAATTTAATTATGTGATTAAATTGTTGGTTTAGAATGCTAAGAGTCAAGGTATCCTTAAGAGTTAAGTTGTCTTTGAGTAAATTTGAATTAAAGTTAGTTGAATTAACTAAAATGAAGATATATAAGACTAATGAGAAGATCTTTGAAACTCAAGAAAACCCCTTTAAATCCTCATTCCCTGACTCATCCACTATTCCTACAGTTAATCCAAGGTGACTGATTGGTCATTCAAAATTCATGGAGCTAATAACACCAAGTAAAAGTCATACAGTTGTTTTTCTTCCATTTTCCTCTTGTTGGTTGATTGATTTGAGATAAGTGAAGTTTTGTGTTTTGAATTATTGATGAACTTTGATGCTTATTGGTTGTTTACATTCATCATTTGTTGGTTGCTGAGTGGATTCTTGCTAAAAGATTGAGTTGAGTTTATGGTGTTTTGAAGCATAGTATGGTGACTTCGATCTTTAATGAATGCACGTTGTTTTCTGATGATGGAATTATGTTTTACATGTTTTCTATATGTTGTATGTTGCAATGCATGTTGGTCAATTTACGAGTTTCATGTGAATTGGGTGAAAATGAGCTTCTGCCAAGTATAAAACTCGTCATCATGCTGAGGGTGCCTTCAAAGCGTTAAATGTGGCTCAGGTCATAAGTGTTATATCTTGCTTGTGTAAGGTGCAAGATTGGTAGCGCCAGACATGCAAAGATATTATCATCTCTACCTGA